CGTATATAGCATTATATTTACTAGCTTTTTAAGCAGTAAATTTCATATTGAAATTTATTATTAATCATTTGTACTGATTATTACAGTTGTTTTTTACTTTTTAAAAAAAACTATTTAACTAGTATATACCGCTAATTTATTATAAATGCTTTTCTAACAACATTGAATTACTATATTAATATTCCTTTTTCAGATTTGTTTGTAAATTGATTATTTGACAAAACTGCTATAGGAATTTTAATAGAAGTATTTGATTTTTGAGAAGTATTATATGCGATATTAACAGTTCATTGATTCGTTATTTATTTTAATCTTTTTGTTAGGTAATAGCATTGATCGTTTAGCCAATTGTTTCTTTAATCCAGTTGGAATTACTTATCTGCATACATTAATTTATCACCTTGTAACTTTCTTTTACATTATTGAAACCTTGTTTGCCGTTCTATTCTAATTCTTTTGTCCATGCATCGTTTTTTGAAGTACATAATAGCAATATGAAATTATTGTTTAAGCAAAAATAAAGATAAAATATTTAAAAGAGAATTCACCTATATAAACATCTATTATACTCAACTTTCACGTTCTAAAAAATTATTCAACACTTCTTGTGGATCATAATCGAAATCAGCAGAAGAAACCATTGGAGTCATTTTCCCAGTAGAAGATTCTAAATTTTTAACTTCCAAATTAATAATCTCTTTGATTAATAATAATGTAGAACTATTAACTTCTGCATCTAATGAATTTATTTCACTAACTTCTACTTGATCTGTCTCCTTATAACTCATAATACTGCTAACCAATGATACATTATATGCATCTTAAAGATCAGCCTCAGTTAATGTTTTATCAGGAAAACTTAGCTCACATTGAATGTTAGTCATATTATACGATTTAATTTTAGCAATTTCTTCTAATCTATTTAGATCTAAACTTGTTTGGCACTCTCCTAAAATCTACTTTAATGTTGAGAAATTTCTCTTACAATTTGATTGAGTAGGATTGATTGAAAAAATTCTATGTGCTAATTCAGCCAGATGGCGAGGTTTATTTTTAAAAGATTCTCACCAAATCTTTGGAGTATCTGTACCCAGTACATAAGAAAGATCAAATAGTGGTATTTTTGCTTCAAAATGGTGTATTTGTGCAATTAGTTCTTTACCTTCAAGTTTAGTATGTTCAAGATTCTGCCAAA